AGAGGAGAGGGAGAAGGGAGAGGGAGAAGAGAGAGGAGAGGGGAGAGGGGGAAGAGAGGGGGAGAAGAGAGAGGGAGAAGAGAGAGAGGAGAGGGAGAAGAGAGAGGGAGAAGAGAGAGGGAGAGAGAGAGAGAGAGGGGGAAGAGAGCGAGGGAGAGGGAAGAGAGAGGGAGGAGAGAGGGAGAGGAGAAAGAGAGAGGGTAGAAGAGATGAGAGGGAGGGAGATAGAGAGAGGATTGAGGCGAACGAGAGGAGAGGGAGAAGAGAGAGGGAGAAGAGAGAGGAGAGGGAGAAGAGAGAGAGGAGATGGAGAATGAGAGGGGGAGAATGAGAGAGAGGGAGAGGGAGAAGAGGCGGAGAGAGGAGAGGGCAAGAAGAGAGAGAAGAGAGGAGAGGGGGAGAAGAGAGAGGGCGGAAGAGAGGAGAGGAGGGGGGAGAAGAGAGAGGGAGAAGAGAGAGAGGAGAGGGGAGAAGAGAGAGGGAGAAGAGAGAGAGGAGAGGGGGGAAGAGAGCGAGGAGAGGGAGAAGAGAGAGAGGAGAGGGATAAGAGAGAGGGAGAGGGATAAGAGAGAGAGGAGAGCAAAAAGCCTCTCCTCATTTACTGTCCCTCTGCCTCTGCCTGTCCGTCCTCTACCCCTGCTTCTTGCCCTGCTAGTCTGACTGCCATCAACATTGTCCAACGCAACCTGCGCATACAATGAATGACGTTAGCTAGATGTTAGATGTCCTTCTATGTGAAATACTTTCTTACATACATTGGCTATTACAAAACAATTTGACAAGGTTGAAACTATTGCAGCTAGCTATAGCTGCAATAGTGTCAAACTAGCTTTGGTTTAGCAAACGTTAGCAAAGCTAGCAAGGGAACTGACAGAACCCTTACGAAAAAAGATTGCAGTATGAGTGCAGTACAACTGCAGTATGCTGCTAATACTGCATCCAAAATCAACGTTTTTTTTACTGCAGTAATTTTGCAGTGTAACTGCAGTTAGGGTGCAGTGTAACTGCAATTAGAGTGCAGTATAAATGCAGTTGAACTGCAGTACACTGCAGTTATTCTTCAATTACTGCATCCAAAATACCACAGTCGACTGCAGTTACTGCACTTTTACTGCAGTTTCAAAACTGCAATCTTTTTTTGTAAGGGAACACATCACAGAAAGTTGACAAATTTAAAGTACAACGTTGCCATATGGTATTACAATACAAATACTTTTTGGAGTTTAACGTTTGTTTCACCTCATCTCTCGACATTCTGTGTGTCCAGTGGTTAGCTAGTACAGTCGTGGTCAAAAGTTTTGAGAATGACACAAGTATTGGTCTTCACAAAGTTTGCTGCTTCAGTGTTTTTAGATATTTTTGTCAGATGTTACTATGGTATACTGAAGTATAATTACAAGCATTCCATAAGTGTCAAAGGCTTTTATTGACAATTAAATTAAGTTCATGCAAAGAGTCAATATTTGCAGTGTTGACCCTTCTTTTTCAAGACCTCTGCAATCTGCCCTGGCATGCTGTCAATTAACTTCTGGGCCACATCCTGACTGATGGCAGCCCATTCTTGCATAATCAATGCTTGGAGTTTGTCAGAATTTGTGGGGTTTTGTTTGTCCACCCGCCTCTTGAGGATTGACCACAAGTTCTCAATGGGATTAAGGTCTGGAGAGTTTCCACAAGCCACTTAGTTATCACTTTTGCCTTATGGCAAGGTGCTCCATCATGCTGGAAAAGGCATTGTTCGTCACCAAACTGTTCTTGGATGGTTGGGAGAAGTGGCTCTCGGAGGATGTGTTGGTACCATTCTTTATTCATGGCTGTGTTCTTAGGCAAAATTATGAGTGAGGCCCACTCCCTTGGCTGAGAAGCAACCCCACACATGAATGGTCTCAGGATGCTTTACTGTTGGCATGACACAGGACTGATGGTAGCGCTCACCTTGTCTTCTCCGGACAAGCTTTTTTCCGGATGCCCCAAACAATCAGAAAGGGGATTCATCAGAGAAAATGACTTTACTCCAGTCCTCAGCAGTCCAATCCCTGTACCTTTTGCAGATTATCAGTCTGTCTCTGATGTTTTTCTGGAGAGAAGTGGCTTCCTTGCTGCCCTTCTTGACACCAGGCCATCCTCCAAAAGTCTTCGCCTCACTGTGCGTGCAGATGCACTCACACCTGCCTGCTGCCATTCCTGAGCAAGCTCTGCACTGGTGGTGCCCCGATCCCGCAGCTGAATCATCTTTAGAGGACAGTCCTGGCGCTTGCTGGACTTTCTTGGGCACCCTGAAGCCTTCTTCACAACAATTGAACCTCTCTCATTGAAGTTCTTGATGATCCGATAAATGGTTGTTTTAGGTGCAATCTTACTAGCAGCAATATCCTTGCCTGTGAAGCCCTTTTTGTGCAAAGCAATGATGACGGCACGTGTTTCCTTGCAGGTAACCATGGTTAACTGTCATAAGGTGCTGAAGGTGGGTGTGGTGTAGGAATCAGGCGCAGGAAGCATAGGCTCAGTTCAAAGGCTTTAGTGTTAAAATACACAAACACAAGCACAATAAGCCTGAAGGCGAAATACCGGGCGCACACAGGCGACAAAATAAACAGCGCACAAAACATGTGCAAAGAACCACTCCAAACACTGGAGGGAAAAATGTAGCTCCAACACGTAACAGAGGCGCAATCACACACAAACACAGACACACACAACGAGACTTAAATAGAACACTAACGAGGACTAACTAGACACAGGTGTACAACATTAAGACCAAACCAAACGAACATGAAACATAGATCGGTGGCAGCTAGTACTCCGGGGACGACGACCGCCGAAGCCTGCCCGAACCAGGAGGAGGAGCAGCCTCGGCCGAAACCGTGACAGTACCCCCCCCTTGACGCGCGGCTCCAGCCGTGCGCCGACCCCGGCCTCGGGGACGACCAGGAGGACGCGGAGCAGGGCGCGCGGGATGGTCCCGGTGGAACTCCGACAGGAGAGATGGGTCTAGGATTGTCCCTCCGCGGCACCCAGCACCGCTCCTCCGGGCCGTACCCCTCCCACTCACGAGATACTGGAGACCCCCCATCCGGCGTCTGGAGTCCAAGATGGACCGAACGGTACGCGGAGCCCCGCTCCATG